GTTTTTATTTTAGGCAAAGAGGCCAGCTTGGCTTTTATGTTATGCAAGTGTTGAGTTTCCCCATCGTTCCCATGAGGTGTCATGACTCCAGTTTCCACATGTCATTATAGACATGCCCGCAACATTTCTGAATAAACAGCAAAGCCCATTCTTAGCCACGAAAACAGCACAGATAATACACACCAGCCCACATGGCCCTTGATTCCCAAAGGAGGGGTGTGCCACTGCCATACCAAGTCATCTTTGACTTCTCCAGACAACCATCAGGGAACGTAGCACAAGGTTCTTAAAGTCTCTGAGGAAATCTTGAGAGAAACCATCCTGATTGAATTCTTTGTTGCACAAGAAGTCTTGAAGTTCCGTGGATTTTTTCAAGTGTTTACCTAAGGAAATGAAATAAAAACATGTCAACTTCCACTTCATTTACACTGGGAAATGTTACTTTAAAAATAAAACAGAGAATGTGTTTAAATAGTAAGTATTTGAGAATGTCCAGTACTTCATGCTGAGGTCACATTTCGCATGATCCCAAAGGGGGTGGAGGGCAGGAGACAGAACAAGAGTCTGAAAAAGACTCTTGCCATCCCAAACTCAAATGCAAAAACTTCTTTTTTTCTAACCTCCCAAGTTTTGCCATTTTGTTTAGCAAAAGAAAAAGGACTGAAAAATGCAATCAGAGTAATAATTTGTTCCAATAAACAATGGAGAAAGAGTTTTGTACTATAGATGCGATACTAGCCCATACATAATGAGAGATTTATTGAATATGATCCTTCTACTAGGGGAGAAAAATCCTATTCAAAGCCAAGCTGTGTGACCAATTTGAGCTACTTCCTCTCTCTGGTCGCGTTTTTCGTTCTCCTCCTGATACTGCCTCTAGCTGAGTGGCATGGAGCGAGCTCTGGAGGCTTATGGGCCCCACTAATTTTAGGTACTGTGTGTAGCAAGGGGTGTTTTTATTAGAATCTCCAGCTGTCTGGATTTTTCTTTCTCTAATTAGAAATGACAGGAGGAGGATCACATTTTGTTCCATTTTGTTTCATCTAGTATTTATAACTTTCCTTTTGAAAGTTGAAATTGAAATTGAAAACAAACAAACAAACAAACCCAAAACATGTTGTTAATGGAGCTACAGCAATTGAAATCCACATCCTTTCTCCAAAGGCCACACCTCCCCACCTCTAATTCCATATGATACATGTCTCAAGTTCCACTGGTAGAAGATTGAATATTTATATAGCTTATCTGATAACACCAGTCTGCAATCTCTGCTCCACAAATAGCTGTGGTTATTCATGTCTGCCCTAGCTTACACCTCTCTCTCTCTCTCTCTCTCTTTCTCCTCCCATTCTTTTCTTTGTCATCTCTGCAGACTCTTTGGCTTTGTGGCCAGGAAACAAGGCAGTACAACAGACAACGTCTGCCACCTCTTTGCTGAGCTGGACCCCGACCAACCAGCTGCCGCCATTGTCAACTTTGTCTCCAGGGTCATGCTCGGCTCCTCTCAGAAGAGATGAACCGATGCCTTCCCCCTGAAGGGGGCTTCTTGCCCTTGAATTTTGAAGAAGGACTTGGAGTTGTTCCGAGAAGGAGTGCGAGGAAGTGCGTTGCAAAAGAGGGAAGTGAACCAATTTTAGGGGACGGGGGGAGAGAGGGAGAGTGGGGGAAGGTAGGAATTGCTGAAAAGCCCAAACCAAGCAAACGTACGTACATAGTAGAAACCAAGGAACCGACATCGTCGCCTTTCCCTGCCAAGTTCAAGAGGTGGAGACAATTTTGGCTTTTTGGATCAGCATGAAATCAGAGAATTCAGCCCCACAGGCCAAAGCACGGATCTTATTTACCTATGTGGGGTAGGACTATATAGTAGTTGCTTGTTTAGAAAATAAGGCAAACTTTTTAAAAATCATGAATACGTGAGCTGCAGGAATCACATTGAGAGACATGCCGAACAAGCAATCATTGGTACCCATTTCTGAAAGTAATTGCTCCCAACTCTTCAACTGCTGAATGTATGGAGCGTGTGTGCGTGTGCCTGTGTGTGCGCATTTGTGTAGTGTGCACCTGTTGCAATACATATCTGTGGAAATCTGCAGTGTTAAGATCATGACTTTGCTGAATGATGTGATGGTTATTCAGAACGGTTGACCCCTGCATTCTCCCCCTCCTCTAGGAACATTGGGCTGCATTACTCCAGCTGGAGGAGAAGCCTCATGAGCAGTAGCGCCTGATCTACTACAGAGGCAGGAAGTCCACACCTCATACATGTGCACAGTGCATGTGCACACATAATTTGTATACCAGAGTTGCAGGGAGTATTCCCCTAGCTAAGTTTAAGGAGCATGCTAGCCACATCATAATTATATCTTCTGGTGTCTATGCAATGAGACCCATGGTGGGTCATTTGAACAGGGAATCTGTCCCATGATCCTCTTGCCCCTAAAAAAATTAAATACCAGCAGTTTGGGAATGCCATTCCTTTCCTGTCCAGGCTTACCCCTTCTCGGTAGGCATGCACGTCATTTTGTATCTTGCATGGAAATTATTCAATTGCGCAAAGGCAAGATGAATGATCCAGTAATGGGGAGAGGGGGATCTTGTTTTGAAGCCACTAGGAATAATGATGTAAGGAGAGCCAACTTGGTGTGAGCTTTGGCTTAAGCACAGCCATAATTGATTAATCTGTATCCATTTGAGCTCAACAATTAATATGTAGCAAAATTCATTATTTTTGCCTCTTCAGGCTTTGTGTTTGCTTCTGGAGGCATCAGATCTTGCACCGACACACTAGTTGACACTTGGCAGTGTTGTCCTCAACTGACATTTGCTGTGGAAAGGGAGGCAGTTTCTACCTTGCAAATCTTTTTTTGTGCAGAGCCGCTACATATCCATTTTCACAGTGAATGAGGTAGTATTGTAGCAGCAGCCACGGAGGAACTATGTATTTTTCTGCCAACATCACAAATTAGTCTTTTTACTAGCATGACTTCTGTCACTCCTAATGAGGGGCCTGCAGAAGTGCTGCCTATTAACTAATGGCTCTGGGTATCTTTGTCAAGGAAAGGTTGACTTGTCAGGAGACGTCTGCTTTGTTGTGGAAGTATCCTTCTGTTGTGTAGGGTTCTCACATCATCTGCACTGGCAAATCCCAGACATGAACACTTGTGCTGAATGGACAAAGAGATGTTCCCATGTGTCAAATCCTATGGGTTTATTGTGAATTCTTCAACCTCTACTTAGACTAGAGTCAAGGCCCTGCTGAAAGCAAGTCACTTTTGGCTTGCTGTGTCAGCTGGTCCAACGGGGATTGGTCAAAGACTTATGAAGAGACTAGCATGCATGACAACAACTTGAGTCAACAGATAAGGAGCATGTGGGCAGTAAGCCCTTCACACCCTCCTCTGTTGATAACATGCAACAGGACTCATAACACACAGTATGGGTTGGGTTGGGCTGAGACCTCCCATTTAAAACAATGGATGAAAAGTCTGTTCCCCTAAAATGCCATCTGGGTTCCTGAATTAGCAGGGGAAGATCTTTAGGGACAGGCTGTGTGTTGATGAAGCACTTCAGCATGAAGCCATGCAACATTCACTAAAAAGTCAAAATACAAACTCCAAGTCATGCAGTCACCTAAATTCCCCTAGAGAGTGTGGCTCTCTCATTGCCTTGATATAATATATATATGTATGTATGTATGTATGTATGTATGAAATATACTGACGAAATAATGTAAGCTAATCAAAAAAATTTAAAGTGAAATTTACACAAAAAGTATTTATTTTTGCCATATTGCTTTTATCTATCTTTTACCTCCTCTGATATTTTCATCTTCCTACATTCCCCCCTCCTCCCTGTCCATGTTATAGACTCTTGTATGTATAACTTAGTACAAAATGCTTATTTGGTTAGTATTATTGACATGGGCAAGATTTCAAAAGATGTCCATCCCTCTCCACCCCAGCCCCATAAGAGCAATGTATTTTGATATCATGCCACAGGGCAGTGCAACAATACAGCCTTTCTCATCCCCACCTCCTCATTTTTAGAAATGAGCAAGTGAGCATGTATAAATTTTGTACTTTGTTGCTGAGTGACGCAAAGGTTAGAGGTGTGCGTATGTGTGAAAGTGTGTGAAGAGAGACATATTTCTGGATACTGTATAAAGCATGAGTTTTGCATCCAAGGACTGTTGTCGAGATGGTTCCTTGGATGGAGTGGGAGCATCAGTTATTGGTGTCATCGTCCAGGCTCTGCCCCACCCGCATCCAGATGGGATGCCAGAGACTGCGATAGCTTATTCTCTTCTAGGTTACAAATATTTCCTCCTTCTGCAAAATTCAAGCAAGATGATTCCCCCTCCCTCACCTGCAACTGCCTCACCCTGCCATTAACCAATTAGAGAAACACTGTGTCTATAGATATATATATAAATATTATAAATATATATATTTTTTGAAAGTCTCTATTTTTCAGACTTCATTTTTTCACTGCTTTCAAAAAATTAAAATTTGCAATCTCACCCTTCCCCTTCATCATTTGCTGTCTTGCCACAGAGAGCGGTATTGAAACTTTATGGTTCATTATTGTTTTGCCATTCAAAGGAAGTGACCTTGATATAAGGCTTCTGTGGTCACATATATATCATCATGGCGAGCACACGCATGTCAGAATACCTGCTTCCAGCCATGACCTGCTCACTGCTCCTTTACTAACTCACTAGCTGAAGATGGAAAGTTTAAAGATCCCTATGTGTTTGGGCAATACTTGCTGACTATGGCTTTATTTTAAAAGGCAGAGCTAATCACATTATGTAACTTGTTGCTTTTCCAGCTTGCATTCAAGACAAAAGCTGCATTTTAGGAGTAACTGTTGTATTTATCAACCACAGTTTTTCCATAGATCAGGTCCCCAGCTCCTCCAGGGTGGCTCTTGATCCGGAGCTAACCAAGTGCTTGTGAAAAAAGAGCACAAAGAGGCACAAGAAGTTGCTAGAAGAAATGAGAGTTCCCCCAGACCCAATAATTTCTGTGTATATCTTGATTGGGTTAGTGGAGTATGATTTTTATCTGCCCTTCCTTCCTTTCCCTCAACTTGCAGTGTGCCTCTCCATTTGTGCTAAGAACCATAGAGCAGGGATCAAAAGGAGACCAATCTCGATGGAAACCTCTGGTCCATTTTTATGGATTGCCAGTGCCAACCCAGGAAGGAACATCCTGGCATATGTGAGGAGGAGAAGGCAACCAGTTTTCGAAATACTGTCACAACTTCAGAGGCAACAGATTGTCTCCTTCTCTGCTTTGTGGGGCTATTTGCGTCTGCCATGTTCTTTATCCATTGATCTCCCCGCACCCAGCCACTTGCCCAGGATGTAAGTGAGCTGCTCACTAGGTGAGTCATCCTTGGGTTGGTTTGTTGGTGTCAATTTGCCTCAGCCACAGTTTCTTCATAGGCTTAAGGAGGCTGTTTGTGGCACTGGGGAGAGAGAGAGTCCCTGTTCTGAACTGGTTTAGTTGCTTTCTGCCAAACTCCCAAGTGCTGGAGGAGCTGCTGCAATCCCCGAAAAAACCTTGTGCCATTTATTGAATGTCTTTTAAAGAGCACAAGAGAAGATAATTCCATCTGAAACTCACCAACTCGTTTCCAATGCCTGGGACTATGTCTAATGTAATCCCCCCCCCCCATGTATGCAATGTAGTAATAACTCTACCCTTTCAATAGAAGGTGTTATATTTTATACACATGCACACAAACACCCTCCTCCGTACACAAAGAACTGCATAATCTTGCCAAAGATACCTGTCTGAAATGCACTTTCCTCTTCCTGTTGGCTGTACATTTCTTGAATGTGCCTCTTTTCCACTCTTTAGTTTTTCTTTCTTTGTTTTAAAATGGTGTTTACTAGTGACTTTTGTTCATTATGTTTTTCTCTAGCAAATTTGTGAAACTTAAATCACCCTTCCACCAGCTGGGTGGTGATAACTAATTTGATATATAACTTGAGATTTGAGGAAGGTTACTGAGCAGTGAAACAGCCAAAGTAAGATGTAGAAGAGAACAGGAGCAAAGCCATTCATATACCCTCATGTCCAGTTCCTTAAATGTTATAAAAATCCCAAATTTATCCCTAAAGCTCCTGCAGTTGCTTGCTTTAAAAACAACTTCAAATAAGTAATCATTTTTAAATAAGTAATCCCTTCCCAATGCCTGTGAAAGAAATTTAAAGTAAACAGCATTAGAGACAGTACTGTCTCTTTTTGTCTCTATATAGCTGACATACAACAGACAAAGATGTTTAATATTTTGCAGCAACCAATATTATTTGTCATCCAGCTCAATATAGCTGTGAGGATTAATGACCTAATATATCTCTGCATTATGGCAAATGGCTGCACTGCTACTCTACATGGGGCATTGAGCTAGAATTGTAGTTTTGCTAAATCTTTCTTGTAGTATAAGAAAGTCATAAGGCCAGAGTCATAAGGACCATACTAGACCAATACCCAAAAGAAACCAATGGCCTGTACTCAGTAATTGGAACTGGGTGTATTGGAGAAACATTTAAAGGCCACAGGCCCAATATATTACTATATTCTGGCAACCATCAATTTATTAATCTGTTCGTGGATGACTCAGAACACGTTATTCAAGTTGAGTCTGTTCTGATTAAGCCAAGAAGTTCAGTTAAAAATTAAAAGGGATAAAGCCATCACTTTGTGAGGCTATGTGAGGAATAAACTCCCAGGTTTATACATGGACATAATAGCTTCTGTCATACTAGGGCAATGAAGACTAGCATCTCCTATTGCAGCCCCCTTGTAAACCCATTTTAGAAGTTGTTCCATAATTTCTCATCATAGTGTTTGTACAGCATTTTCATCAGCATTCTCACCCACATAAAAAAACAAAACCCTTGTTCAACATGGCCCCTCATTCACCCATTGCCCATTAATGGCAACCTGGCAGCATACCCACAAAGCTCCTGTGGTTCTCCAAATATATCATTAGCCAATGCCATCCAATATATACCTGAATTTGGGGCTAAAGAAAAGCAGCATGTATAGGGTTATTAATAAAAGCAACAAAGAAAGACTCCTAAAACGACACTGGTATATTGAGACCCACAAGAAGACGACATTTTACTCCTAACCATATTCCTTGGAAATGTCCCATTACAATCATGTGGTCCTACAAGTGATGGGTTTAGGATTGGGATGCTGGTTTCTGTTGCAAGTAGGTACTTTTTCAAAAAGCAGCATAAAATTACTCAACTCTGGAGGACGCCCATTGATCTCCAGTAGTCAATTCCCATTTTTTAAAGTAGGTCTACAGGAGATGAGCGGCATAGCTCCAAAATCAGTTTCAGATTTAAAACCAAATGGTCCAAATCGTAACAGTGTTTACTAGGAAGTACATCCCATTCAAGTCAGTGACATCTACTCTCAAGTTAAGAGGGCAGTTCTATGCAGAAGTCAATTCCACTGAAGACAATAGAGCTTATAGACAATGGTTATAGGGTTGCAGCTGCTAGAAGCAGGGAGATCCAGACTTTAAAATTGCAGTTCAGACTATTTGCTGTTTTATGACTACCATGGTTAATGTTGTTACAGCACCCTTTATCAGTATTAATGACCTTTTAAAGCAACTTTTTGTTTCTTCTTGCATCCCCTCCCATTTTTTAAGCACACACCAAACATGCAAATGCCTACACAAAGAGGAGTAATTGGGAAGGGAAACAAGCCACATGCCAGAATTAACTCCCTTTTTATGTATTTATACAGACAGAATTATCCTTTATATTTTGTATCTTTGTGCCCATACCTTTTGTCACTTCTCTAAGAGACGCCTCTGCATCACCCATGGTTCACGTGTGAATGGACCATGCACAACTAAGCTTTCCTTTCCCTTTGTACAGCTATCTTGACTCATTGCAGTTCCTTGTATGGCTTTATAAATGATAAGATTTTAAACAAAATCAATTATATGAAATATACTGTTGCTTGAAAATGCCCAGCTTGGTGTCTGGATTGCTGGAATTGTATCTCAAAACTTTAAGGGAGCAAAGGAATAAAGACTCTCTACTTTTTGCACAGGGAAATCATGATGGTGGCTGTATTCACTCCTGCTCCCTTGCACTCTCACACCGAAGAGTTTGCACACTGCAAAAGAATAATAGAAAATGCTCCCAGCCAGTTCTAGAGTTGCTCCTGAATTTCACCCAAAGAGAAATTTGAGGTGAATGTAGCCATTCTTGCTTGCCCCTTTTGCCAAAAAACCCCTGGAGAATTTTGAAGAAAAACCGAAATGATTGCACAACGACCAGTAGCTGTTTCCACTCATTATCACCTGTTTAGGTAAATGTGGACCTCGCCTACAGCAGCCCAGCCTCTGCAACAAAAAGTTGGGCCGGAGAGCAGGAGGGGCTTTCTAGTGGAGCACCTTGCATGTACCTGTTTGGGAGGACACAAGGGTCACTGTGTCCACAGAATCCTTTTCTTCACCCTGCAGTGGTTTTTCTAGAATTCCTAATGCATACAAATGCATAAAGAAGGTTGCACCACATCAGGCATTGGGTATGATACAGAAATGGGGGAATCTATCCATCTATCTATCTATCTATCTATCTATCTGGTTAAAAAGGTAAAGGACCCCTGACAGTCAAGTCCAGTCACAGACGATTCTGGGGTTGCGGTGCTCATCTCGCTTTACAGGCCGAGGGAGCCGACGTTTGTTCACAGACAGTTTTTCTGGGTCATGTGGCCAACATGACTAAGCCACTTCTAGCAAAACCAGAGTAGTGCATGGAAATGCTGTTTACCTTCCTGCCGGAGTAGTACCTATTCATCTAATTGCACTTTGACATGCTTTCAAACTGCTAGGTTGGCAGGAGCTGGGACTGAGCAACGAGAGCTCACCCCATTGCAGGGATTCCAACCGCCAACCTTCTGATTGGCAAGCCCAAGAGGCTCAGTAGTTTAGACCACAGCACCTTCCGCGTCCCTGGCATCTATCTGGTTATCATAGGCTAATAACTGGCAGTCTTTTATTGCAAGCGCCTTCCTGCTGCTACTGGTTAAGTTGCTGTTATGTCACAGAACAGTCACATACTTTATAAATACTGTTGAGAGGACTCTTTCTCAATATTTGAAAAAGCAGTGCCATTGCTGTGAAGGGAATGTAAAGTTGCCAGAGTAAAGCTGCACAAAGACCCTTACAAAAAAGGGGTGGAGTGGTCTTGGTGAGAAGCAATAGTGGAAATCCAAGTAGGATACCTAGGAAGTAACAGAGAAAAGAACAAGGGGTCTAAGAGGAAAGTTAGATGAAGGAAAGGGTGAAGGGGTGAGGAAGAAATAGGAGCTGGGGAAAAGATGGAATGAGAGGGGGAGCTGATAAAAATCTGCATAGGAACATAGAGTCTGCTTTATTTTTCCTGTTTTGTCACACTGGAAAGTAACACTGGGGCAGAAAGTGGGGAAGTCACTCTCACTTGTGCCATGCTAGATATATCACATCAAATGAACTCTTTGCCACAGGTTGAGTGGGTGGGATTCTTATGCTCTGTTCTTTAGAAAATGGGATCTTTCTTTCTAAAACAATATCTGAGTGCCTCCAGGGTTTCCGTATTTTGCAAGAGGGGTTCAGGTACATGCAAGGACTTTAGGTTTGCACAATTGAAGTACATTAAAGCACAACAAATCGACTTTTGAAAAATAAAAAATGGACCTTTTGCAATTTGGGAAGTGATGGGGAAATGCATTGATAAGTGTGGGCTGAACAACTCACTAAGGAAAGACATACAAACACCCTGCAAGCATCTGCCCCATGAACAAAAAAGAATGAATACACTGTAAAGACCAGACATCACCACCATTGTGCACACTTTGTGCAAGCAAATTGGAATGGCGAATAAAAAACTCATCTGAAGAAGCTTAATGTACTGGTTAAACACTTCTCTCATCATGTCCACCATATCAATTATCTTTCCATCTTTCTTTCTAACAGAGACAAGGTGCTTTGGAACGTAGGTATTTCTGAGTGACATCTGCAACCAGATGACTGACAGACATACTTTTCAGTTGCTTGCTGTTATCAGTGACTTAATAATAAATTACTTAGTATGTGAAGCACATAACGCAATAAATGTTTACCATCAACAAACTCTTGCCAAGTACTCTTTGGAACAACACACAAAGCCCAAGATCTTCAGTCATGTAAAGCCATGATATTCAGCAAGATTACAAATTGTAATTTCTGTCCAGCCTGGGAAAAGGCAAAATTACAGGCAACAGGAAACATGGGACTGTGCCAATAATGGTGAACAATCTGTGAGGCTCTTCCCCTCTGCAGCATGTTCTTCAGCTTATCCTATATTCTGCCATCCTCCTCCTGCTACACAATCCCTGACATCGTCAACAACCAACAAAGTGAAGCATGGGAAATATACAGCACAATGATATCACATACCTGTCAATTGTCCCACTTTGAGTGGGACATCCCAGAATTACAGAAGCCACCCTGGCTTCTGATTGGATCCTGGGATCTCCTGTTTTAGCTCCCACAAGAGCACAACCTAAAAAGATGCTCTATTGGGGGTGGGGCATGCTCTTGTACGAGTCACCTGACTCCCCCGAGAGCACGGCCCTGAAAGACATGCATCCTGATTTTCCTCTGTGGGATGTTGGAGGGTATGATATCAGAGTATAGGGTAAGGTGAATCACAAGCTATGGAGCACTGGGCCACAGTGGAGAGAATTGCAGGATATTCTGTTTCCCCATTGCAGACAGTTGTGTATGTCATGCCTAAGGGTTGTTTTCTAATGTGACGATTTCCATAAATCAGATGGAGAACCTGAGCCCTCTGGATGATACAGAACTACAGCTCACATCAGCCCTAACAATTGGCCATGATGGCTTGGACCGATGGGAGCTGGAGTCCAATGACATCCAGAGGGCCTCAGGTTCCCTACTTCTGCCATAAATTTGTTCATATTCTGAGACTAATCAAATCAAAGTTCCTGGCTGTCTTTTCTTCCTAGGAAAGAAAGTGGGTCTTAAAACAAGTAACATTAATTTTTATAACAAATGCCAACCAGGCACTTTAGACTCCTAGGTGCCAGCTCTTCAGACATCAAGTTTTACAGCTTCTCTTCAGACCCTTAAATGCTCTGTTAATGATCCCTCTCTCAGTTCATGCATTTGTTACAATAACTTGAGAATAAACAGATATATTTTAGGGAAATCTTGTTTGTAAGCAACAGAGATCCTCTATCAACACTGTATGGATTCTTTGGATTGTATGGATTTCCAGGATTCTTTTTCTTTTTTCTTTTGGAGTGGGGAGGATGTGCTTTAAAATGTACTTTAAATGCGTATTGTGTATGCAGACTCAGAATACCCAAACAAAATGTGTGTCTGTTCTTTTTCTGAGTGAGTTACAAGTGCAATGAAGTGACACAGAAAGAACAAAACAAACACCTTCAACTCCAGACCTCTATTCTTTATCAAGGGTTAGGGTTAGGGTTTAACTTTCTTGCTTTCTCTGTAATCTTCACAATTGCCCTTTAAGGAAGATCAATATGATCATGGCCTCTGTATCAGAGATCACTGGCTTACCACAAACTCATGGCTGTATAGGTGAGGCAAAATTTCAGCCATGGTTTTACTGGCTCAGAGCTTTCGTGTACAACCACTTCACAATCTCAACATGTCAGAGAATTAGCCAGTGGAGCACAGCAAGCTAAGAAGTCTGATTTCCCTCAAATATCTCTGACATTAAGCATTAACATGGACATGGGTGGGCCCATATGTCCAGTGTGATTTGACTGCCAGAATGAGAGAGAGAGAGAATATATATCGTAAATCTAAGGCGATGTCTCTTTGCTAAACCAGTAAAACAATGCAATGTTTTTGTTAGGGAGCAAATGCCTTATTTCCTTTTCAACATTCCTCCCGGGCTTCTGGTTTATATTGCTGCCCAACAGCTTGCTTTGCACAGAAATTGCAGGCATTTGTAATTTGCATTTTGACTGCTCTGGGTCATTCATGCCATATGACTCCACCCTCTCTCAAGATGGAGGATTTCTTTTCCATCCTTTTTTGGGGTAGTGGGTAGGTGGTTGCGAGTCCTACTGCACATCAAAGTATCTGTTAATTTACTGCAGCCTAGTTCTGCTGCCCATCCTACATACTCATACTTAACTGCCAGGACTGCATACACAATACATCAACTTGGTTACTGGGACTACTTCAAATTAGTTTGGGGCATAAATGAATACACGTTAATGAAATACAGTAATACCTCTGTGAACGTCCACCTCGTCTAGTGTCCATTCCAGCGAACATCCACAGCAAACCTGGAAGTACCAGAATGGGTTACTTCCAGGTTTGCCGCTTGCGCATGCGCAGAAGCACAAACTGCTCTGAGCGCGTGCACACAGCGCTTTGCCCTGCATCCTTTTTGGCTAGCGACCGGGCCTCCAGAATGGACCCCGGTCGCAAAACAAGGTATGACTGTACAACAATGTACAGAAAAGTGATGGCTGAGGTTTGGAGAACAATGCTTGCAGCTTCACTTGGGGCTGATGAGAATTGTGTTTCAACCAATGAAGGCCCTGTTGGGATAGTGCCAATAAGCTGCAAGCACCTTAAGTGTTCCCCTCTTATCCATGAAACGACAGCTGTTGAAGCTGCTACCTGCTACCCTGTCCTAGATCCCAAACTTCCCCCCTTTGGGACCTGGACATGTTGGCAGGGAGGACTGGAGCTACAGACAGGGAAGAAATTCAACTCTGTTTTCATTTAAAGGTGGATCTATTAAATTTGCTCTTTCTAAAACAATAGGATAACTGAAACACACTTCTCTGAATTTTGCAATGCAGTTCACCAACCAATGTTTACATTGCATTATATGGGGGGGGGTTGTTTTCAAAGATGTGGAACGTGTGTCAAAACTGCATACATAAATGTGTTTATTAGGAGAAATTCACATTAAACTGCTCAATCCTTTTCATGAGTTTTTTTTTTAAGCAAATTGCTGCAGAAATGTGGAGAACTGAATTTAGTATTGGAAAAATGAGAAACAGAGAGAACCAAAGTTGGCAGATCTATTTTCAATAGGAGTCCTTTGAGTGAAATTCCAAACATTAACCATTATCATCCTCAATGTTTGATTGGGTCAATTCAACAGTTCTAAATCAAGGGATTTTCTGAAGCAAGTGTCCTATTTGAACCCAAGCTGAAGCTGGTAAATTCTGAAGCTGCTCAAGCTTAGCCAGCCCATTTTCTAAAGAGTCAAATCTGGGCTTGAACTGAACCTTTTCTTCAGTGCACACCCCAAACAGGAACAGTCACCACCTTCTAAAGTTGTTGGAATCATTTGGACAAGTTTCACCCATCCAGTCCCCCCGCTTGCTTTTGTACAAAGTGCTTGGGAGTCTACTGGATTTTTTTGTGGGGGTAGCAGCAAGGAGAACACAAAGTGGGGAGCAATCTGGTTTCTCATACACAAATAATGAGGATAGTGCCTGTACATTTGCCTAACATCTTAATTTTAGCAAAGTTGGATGCCTAAACTTTAGGCTAATGCAAAGGTGTTTATCTGAACTTTAACATAAAGAAAAAAATAACAAAAGCTGGGAATCTGGGTATTATGCTTCATTGGGGGAAGGCACTGCCTCCTTTACCCACCCCCCATGCCCATGTCTGAAACACTGGGACACTTTCAGCCCCATTTACACTCTGTGTGTGTGAGGTTCCAAGTGGCAGTTTTCTGTTTGTTTGTTTGTTTGTTTGTTTGTTTGTTTTTTTAAAAAATGAAAATATACCCTTAGGCCACCTTGTGGAATTAAGTGTGGATTCCATGTTCCAATCTGCATACTTAATCTGGGAGCTGTAAATCAGGTGAGTTTGCTTCAGAATGTTAACTTATCAATTTCTTCATGGATCCTAAGGTGTAGCAGCACATTAACTAGCAATGGCTGTTTTATCCAACTATGTCAAACAAACCCTGTGATTCCTGACATCTCCACAGGCTTACTTCTGCACCCCTTAATTCCTTTGCAACAGATACTTTTTGGGGGACAGGGGGGAAGACAATACCTAAATAATTAGTGCCTAGTTACTCTTGTTATTCTTTCATTCAATTTGGAGGAACAACTGCAATGCCTTTCCATGACTGGGTTGTGCTGGAGGAAATTCTCTGTTGTTTCCAAAACTGAAATTCAGTCTCCAATGTTGAGGATGGTAGCCTTCCTGAAAGTATTACTTTCCATAGTTAGGGATGAAAAAGTGTGGACACAAAACCAAATATTTGGAATGAAAACATAGTCTTCTTTAAGATGACTGAACTCCCTCCCATTGTTTTGGCTCCATCTATCACACATATTCTATGTTTCATGAAAAAACAGGTATCTATCTTACATGGAAATACTTTCTATTGAGGAAGGTGCAGCCTTTGCAGCCTAGTGCAAAGGACTTTCTGAGAACACAAACTGCCCCAGGTCAGCACATGTGTTTTAGTGACACTGCAATGCCCTCTTCTGGGTTTTGCAACATTCCTTCGAAGCTTTTTTGCTTTACTACATCACTGATTAATGCTTTGGGTATCTCTTATGCCCCATATACAAAACCCAACCACCATAAATACAGTGGAATAACACTAGTGGCAATCTTGCTTCATTGTGACAGAAATATGTATATATCTGAATTATGTAGAGCATTTGTAGCCATCTTAACTAAAAAAACTGAGTAGATTATTTTTACCTGACCATGGTGTCCTTTGTTTCTGAATATTGATTGAAACAATTATCACCTATTCTCACCCCCCACCCCCGTGAGCTAAAGCTGAGCTTTCCTCTTGCCATCCTGCCAATTTCAATAACTTTGGTGAAAGCAGCTTATTTCCTCAAATGCAGTTTGAGATCCATTGTAGGGCTAAGCTTCTGTACTCTACTACATCAAAGAGGTTCTTCTTAGATAAGGGAGCATTTTTATATGAATTGGATCACAATATTTTGGTCTTTGTCTTGATTGCTTTCAGGGAAGCTAACTGCTGTTGAGCCTGGCCAGTTGAGACATAGTCCCAGGCAGTACTTCATGCTCTAGGAATTACCTAAATTGTTTCATTCTTTGGAACTATGTGTAGGGAGCTGGCCTACAGTAGGGAGGAGGGCAACAATTTCTGCAAAATATTCTGCCAAAGAAGGTGACAAGGGGAAGAATGACATGGCAGGATGTGAGGATTAGAAAGGGGTGGACATGCTGGGAGGAGAACAGGAAAGGAAAGGATGGGCAAATTGTGAGATGACTAGAACTATATAATGGATTGAGCAAACGGGGGGAAGGAAGAAAAATAAGAAACAGGAAGATGGGTTTATTTTGAAAATGCACTGGGGATTAGCTAGCTGTTTTCCATTCAATGCAATAAAAACTAGAGAAGAAGCACACCCTTGGTTTTTTTTGTAAATGAAGTTCATGGCATGTAGGCAGGGACAGTAATAATCAACAAGGGTGTGGTGGGGAGTCTCCACACCCAACGGAATGTTTTTGGAGGGGAGAAGTAGAATGGTGGCACTTGATGCCCAAGGCGGTCAATTACATGAACCCTTTTAAGGCCATGCCCAGCCCAGTCACTCATCCACCTGAGAAGTTCCATTTTCCAGTCTCAGGATCCTGTCATCCCCCAACCTCTCTAGATTCAGCTAGACTGGGAGGGATTTAGGGCCAAACTAGACTTGATGCATCTTTGCATTTAATGTGCAGGGTTGTTATTGTTTGAAAATGCAAACGGGGCATGGCCAAAGTGGGTTGACAATTATTATTTATTAAATTTGATAGCTGCTTTATCGTGCCCCAGGCGACCCAAAGAAACTTCCAAACAACCCAAAGCGACAGACATACAGACAACCAACCAACCAACCAACCAACCAACCAACCCCCATATAGATACATTAAAACCAAGTGGAAAGAGAATATTACTTATCAGGACTGAAGCAGATATGAGAGGAGTTAAACCCCTTACTCCCCAGCACTGATCCTTCCTAATAAACTGGTATTTTCACCAAAAGGAAATCCCCCACTGGCACCAATGCAGGATTTTTTCTTCAAGGGCACCAATTATTACATTTATACCCCATCTTTCTTTATAAGGGTGCACACATGGGAGACAACACACCCTAAGTTATACGGGGCTCAAAGCAGCCCATTTGTGGTTTGAAAACACTATGAAATAAAGTAGGAAGCCAGAGTAGCCCACCCAGTGGGAGTAATATATTCTCTCCACCAAGCTGCAGAATTCTGCACAGCAAAGAGTTCCATGAAGAGCCTGCTAGGCGCCCTTCAGTAGGATATATAGGGAGGATTCATTCATCCTTGTACAGCTGAGATAGCAGGGATGAGTGTGACTTGGGCCTTATGAGAATACAGCACATGGGGATATTCTGCTTTCAAGATATGTCTCCATCACTGTACACATGACCTGTCCAAAGGCCTCTCTGTCAAGGGGTGGGGTGGGCGGGCGCTGCAATCTCATGAATTTGGCACCTTTCACACCAGGCACATATGTAAATAGCTAGCTGTTTTAAAGTCACTAGCAATGCTATTTTTCTACAAAAAGAGGCTCACCATAAACACCTCCCTTGTTCATGACGCCCACCTGAGAGGTTCTAGAACTAGTTCCAGTGAGTTCTGGCTGAGAAAAAGCTCTCACCAGTGGCAAGTCATTCTACAGCATATTAAAATAGGAAGCCACAGTGGTACAGAAAATATGGTTTTCCTGTCCTGCCCGTTAGATGGCAGCATTGTACTTGTATATTTCTACAAAGAGAGAAATGCCATTTTACATATTGGGTACTTCCTACCTTCCTTTCTTTTTCTATTCTGGATAAGCAATGCCCTTAGTTGGGGCTAACACTCAATTAATTCAAACTTTTTGGTTTACCAGTCATACATCTGTTCTGAGTCCCTTTATTTCTTCTTCTTATCTCACTCATCTGCAGTGTGTTCCCTGTTTAGGTTGGACTTCTAAACCTCACATGTCTCTCTAATGACTCTCATTAGCATTAATCACAGGTGTTTGAGGTGGATTATGGACCATGTTAGCTTTCTGTCAGACCAAGGGCCTCACCAGTGATCCTTTTTTATTGTGTATTCATGATAACGTATGATCATGATGGTATCAGGACAGGTTTACATGATCCTGCTTACCAGATCTTTAGGTTTCCACAGTCAAAGTGGATTAACGGTTCTGTCACCCTAGTGCAGGGGTAGGCAACCTAAGGCCCAGGGGCCGGATGCAGCCCAATCGCCTTCTTAATCTGGCCCGCAGACGGTCTGGGAATCAGCATGTTTTTACATGAGTAGAATGTGTCCTTTTATTTAAAATGCATCTCTGGGTTATTTGTGGGGCATAGGAATTCATTCATTTCCCCCCCCCAAATATAGTCCAGCCCACAACATGCTCTGAGGGACAGTGGACTGGCCCATGGCTGAAAAAGGTTGCTGACCCCTGCCCTAGTGCAACAAATCCACTTTAAAAAGAAATAAGACTTTTTGTAGTTTGGAAGGTGGCGGGGCAACACATTGAAAAGTGAAAGATGAACAAATGACTAAAAGGAAGACATATGAACATCGCACAGGCAAATGAGGATGAATGCAGAACAAATGCTAATTGTCATACAACTGCCCCTCAAATAAATCAGAATGCATGCTCAGTAAAGACAGGATATAATCTAGTCTCAGCATAAACTCTGTGCAAGACAAGCAGGATGAATGCTCAATAAAGAGGTTGCTTGGAAGGGACTCAGG